GCCCTGCTTGAGTCTGGCTCTTCCATTTATCCTTGTCTAGCTACTATTAGTCCATGAGTATCCAAGCATTTTCCTGAGATTTCCTGAATCTGCATATAATGGATGGTCAATTAGGAGGTATATTTTTTTTTATTGTTTCTTATACACTGATCTTGTTGCTCTGTCATTAATGTGCCTATACATTTTACGGTGTTGGATAATAATACTTAAAAATGCACTTCAAAAAATTTTTTGTAATTGAGGTAGAATTGACAAGTATTAGTTTTAGGTATACAACATAAAGATACTGTAGAGTTACTGTGGGAGATTATATAGGAAGGTTTGGAATATCAGACAGATGGGGAGTCAGGAGAAAACTTCATACTGAATATAATTTGTGGTGCTGTCTCTTGGCCTTTAACTGAGAATAGGAGCCAGTAAATGTCCAAACTTGATATTGTACCCCTTTAATCTCTCAGGATGTCCAGGCAGAATCTGCCTCTTAATACTGCCCTGAGGCTTAACTCCTGTTAATAAGTTTGGAACAGGAGTGGTAAGGAAGGCACCGACTGCTGCTAGCTGAGCTGGGTCCTGCCCCTTTCTTACTGAGAATAGACAAGCAGTCTATCTCTGCAGAAAAGATTTTATTGTCATATGGCTTACACAGATGAGCATTCCTGATAACCTAATTATTGTGATATGAATGGCTCTTGAGCAACTTGTCTCAGACCCCAGTTAGAGTTTTAGGCTGATATCTTCTCACAATTAATTGACTTTTATATACCTGAGGTCTATTTTGCAAATTTGTCATAGAGAAACTCCTAAAAGTTGGGTAAGATTTAACACAGAAGCAAGAATAAAACACATGGAATATTAGACATTTAGTGTTTTATTTTACTGGAGTCATATAAAAACTCACCCTGTAATTATAATTACAGGAGACTAAGGAAGTACCTTTACACAATAACTTTCTGAGATTTGTCTTGGTGTGTCACTTTTTATCCTGTGGTGTAATAATTGGGAACACCTTACCTAACCTAACATCTGTCTGAAGATGGGTATTTGGGATATGCTGGACTATTTTATGTCTTACTAACTTGTAGGAAATCATAATAATAGGCTCTGTTTTCATCCCTGTATAGATTCTTTTCAGTTGTGTGTATATAGGAAATTATGTATTGCCAGTTGCGGGGGGAGAAAATCCCTTAGAGACCTTCATAGCAATTTAGGTTTGACCATTGTTTTTGAACTTTTTATTTTGAAATATTTATAGATTCACAGGAACTTGTAAAACAAAACATACAGGGAGGCCCTCTGCACTTTGTGTGCATGTGTATGTGTGTGTGACCTGTGTAGCTTCCTAGAGTCACTATCATAACTGTTCCAGAACTGTCCAGTCACCACAGGATTCCCTCTACCCCTTTACGGCCACACCTTTCCCCTCTCCCCTGGCCACCGCTAATTAGTTCTCCAGCTTTGTAGTTTGTTACTTCAAGAATGCTGTATAAATGGGCGGCGGGGGGCTGGGGTTGGGTGCTCAGTGGAGCAGTCAGTTAAGCCACTGACTCTTGGTTTCAGCTCAGGTCATGATCTCGGGGTTGTGAGATTGAGCCCCGAGTTGGGCTTCACCCCAAACATAGAGAATGCTTGGGATTCTCTATCTCTTTCCCCCAGCCCCTCTAAAATAAATAAACAATTCTTTAAAAACATAAATAAATGGAATCCTGTAGTATGTAACTTCTGAGTTTTGGATTTTTTTTACTGCATAGTTTGGAGATTCATCTAAGTTGTTGCATGTGTGAAGTTTGTTCCTTTTTATTGCTAAGTAGTAGTCCATGGTAGGATATATCATGGTTTGCTTAACCAAAGAAAGACATGTGCATGGTGTCCAGTTTCCAGAGCCATTATTAATAAAACTGTAATGAACTTTCATGTATCGGTTTTTGCACAGACATAAATTTTCATTTTTCCTGGTCACATGCAGAATGTGGGAATGCAGTTGCTGGGTCATACAGCGACTGGGTGTTTAGTTTTTAAGAAACCACTCAGTTGTTTTCCAGAGTGGTGTACCATTGACTGCTGTTTGATGGAAATATTTTGTAGCCTGGGTGGCCCAGTTGGTTAAGTGTTCTGTGTCCTGGTTTCGGCTCAGGTCATGATCTCAGGGTCGTGGGATTGAGCCCCGAATCAGACTCCACACTCAGTGGGGAGTCTACTTGAGGTTCTCTCTCTCTCTCTTCCACTGCCCCTTCCCCACTCATGCTTTCTTTCTCAATGCTCTAAATAAATAAATAAAATCTTTAAAAATGAAAATACTTTGTAGGGTAACATTTTTATAATATGCAACATATCTGCTGATTTTGGTAGCACTCTTGTTGCCATTCATATATCTGGTTGCTTCTACTGGTCTGAGGGGCAAAATGGATTTCCCAATAGGCTTTGATTTAGGTTACCAGTCATTTTGATGGTCTTAATGCTTGAAGGAAATTCCCTTGGCTTTCATAAAACCACACAAACTGCCCAAGTGAACCTCTCTTCTTTCTCTTCCTTCCTATTTCTAGAGAAGAGTTAAACCCCAAATCTGGGCCCTGAATCCTATCTATAGAGAGCCTCTTTTCTTCCTTATCTTTAGAGCCACCCACCTTATTGGTTTCTGCCCAAGTATTTAAGTTCTCTCCCGTATTGAAATTCCCTTCCCTTTGACCTTGTCCACTACTCCCCTATCTGGCTACTCTTGCTACGCTATCCCTCTTGACTCTTCTGGCTCTATCCCACTGCTTTGTCTTCCTCTCACTTTCCACCATGCGTCCTATAATCTCAGCCTCCCTAGTTGACTACACTGCAATGGGCTTGCTGTTGCCACCAGCAGCCTTCTTGTAGCTCTCTGATGTCAGTGTTTCAGTGTTGTTCTTACCTGACTTTTAAGTACCATTCATTACCCGTGCTTGCTTTCTCTTTGTAAAAATACTTTCTCCTTGGTCTGCTACCTCTTTGGACTGCTGCTCCTAATTGTCCTTTGCTGGTGTTACCCCCTCTGCACATCCCTTGAACCTTGGGTTAGCTCAGAGTTCTGGATAAAGTTGGCTTTCCTCATTCTGGGTGATCTCACTGGCTGATGCCCATGTCTTCATCTCCACCCTAGACCGCTCCCCTGAGCCACAGACCTTATATCCTTTTGCCTCCTAGACACCTCCCTTAACTCTTTCACAAACCCCTCACACACCCCTCACACACATCACCTTTAAAACAGAATGTATTCTCTTCCCAGCATGCTTGCCTCTAAAAAAAAGGGGGGGGGCCAAAAAAACCCTCTTTTTTTCTGTAGTAAGTCCTTAGTATATTAATACCTTATATACAACCGTGGGAGTGCTATTAAATCCCACTTGCATTTAATTGAGTTGCCAGATTTGCTGGACTTTACCATTGTCCATTCAGTACCATTGTCCATTCAGTGCATGGCTTTCTGACCCACGCATGTCTTGAGTACTCTTGCCTCTGCCATTAGTTGACTTGGGTTATTCCCACTACCAACTATACTTTTTATGGTCAAACATTTAATTAAATACTACACAGACTGAAATTGAGTGGGAAAAGGAATTGTTTTTGTGAAAACTAAATTGAATGCTTTGGAAAGTCCGAAAAATAAATTACTGAAGTATTTTCTGTGGAATTAAGTAAGAGTGAGATAACCGTAAAGGGCTAGTAGAATTAGTCCAGATCTAGAAGGATTCTGCACTCTGCTTCTCAAGTGTCCAGGTCTTGCTCCACTTCAACTAAGCATTAGTCTGCAAGTGGTAATGATAGATGATGAAAGTGGTTAATGCAGAAAACATGATGTGGAATTCCAGTCAGTAGGCTCAAAGTCTGAGAAAAACCCTGTTTCAAAATATTGGTGAATAAAATGCCTTTTTGCTTTAAGTTAAAGTGTTCAAGTCTGTTATCTTTTTTCCTCCCTTATTTGTACCCGTCCTGATAAGGGCTTCTGCCACCTCTTGCCTCTCCCAGTGATTGCAGGAGCTGTTCTCCATTATCACTACCCAGCTCACGGTCTTCCCCTGGTTTCTTCCATCAGCTTCCCGACTGGACATCTGCCCCAAGATTGGCCCTTCCCCAGCCCCTTCTCCATGCCATAGCCAGCGAGAACCACTGAACGCATAAGCCTGAACGTGTCACCTTTACTTTAAAACTCCTAGAATCCAGACTTTTAAAAACTAGAAATCGAGGACGTTTAGATCTAGCATCCGCTTATGCACCTAGTCTCGTCTCATTGATTTTTGGGTTTTCTTTTTTTTAAGATTTTATTTATTTATTTGACAGAGAGATCACAAGTAGGCAGAGAGGTAGGCAGAGAGAGGAGGAAACGGGCTCTCTGCTCAGCAGGGATGCGGATGCGGGGCTTGATCTCAGGACCCTGGGATCACGACCTGAGCCAGAGGCAGAGGCTTAACCCATTGGGCCACCCAGGCGCCCTCATCTCAACGTTTTTGTGCTGCCATCCCCTTCCTTCACGCTGGGTACCTGAACCATGTTGACTGAACTCGTTCTGTCCATTCAGTGGAGGTGGTGGGATCTGTGTGTGCCTTGGGGTGGGAGGGTGCCAGACGCTCTAGCCACCAGGTTTGCGTCTGCTCCTCTGCCTGGAGCTTCCTTCCCTGTCCTTCACCGCGGTGCCCCACCCGCCTCCCCCCTCCACCCCCGCAACTGACTCTCCTGTCCCATCAAGTCTCTGCTTTCCTTCAGGAAGCCTTTCTGACCCGCAAGCGGAGGGTCCCTCCTGTGTGCTTTTACAGCAACACCCTGTATTTCCCCCAAGTCTAGCTTTTAGCATTTGGTAGTTAATTATTCGAGTCCCTGGATTCCCTTCAAGGCAGCTGTACTGTGAAGTTCTGTGGGGATCAGGTCCAGCCAGTAATCTCGTTTGCTACAGTCTCCACTTCACAGAGTTGAGTGAACAAATGAGTTTTCTGAATACCGGTTTCTGTGGAGAACACTTGAGTAAACCCGCTTTGCTTCTTTTGTAGTTGCTGTCCCTGCTGGCCTTTATCTGCGAGGAAGTCGTGTCACAGTGCACACTGTGTGGAGGACTTTACTTCTTTGAATTCGTAAGCTGCAGTGCCTTTCTTCTGAGTCTCCTCATCCTCATTGTGTACTGCACTCCCGTTTACGACCAAGTCGATACTCCCAAAGTCAAGCAGTCGGTAAGCGTGAAGAAAATAGAACCCCTTGGCAAAGAACATGGCTCTTTTGGAATCTTGTGTAGTTTTGTTACTCAGACAAGTGTTGCTTTTAAAACTCAGTAGCATAAGAAGACGCTCCCCATGGTGCCAGCTCTGCCCCTGAGCAACTCCATTTTTCCTGCCAAGAAGGGGGTGGAAGAGGGGGAAAGTAAAATCAGAAAGGGAGGGACAGATGAGGTCAGGAGTTTACAGTGATTGGTGGTTTAGTCTCATTCACACTAGGTATTTCTTAAAGATTAGGATTTTTGTCACTTCCAATTTCTCACATTTCAGAGCATCTCTCATGGGTTCTATAGTCGTCCATTGTGTTCCTGCTCTACACCAGGCATTATGCGAGACACGAGAGAGAGTGATGAGCTAATGTGATGTATTTCTGGAGCTTTTCAGAGAAAGCACCACATGATGCTACCTATTTTGTTTTGATTTGTTGTTGTTGTTATGAAAGAAGTTACCAGTAAGTGAATTAAGGCACTTGTTGAATTCATTGTTCAGAAATTTCCCTTTTAATGAAAGTGCACACAAGAATTTTATTTTCACAGGATCAGTGTTGCATAACTTTCTGACGACCATCTGCTGGCGCATATTTTTATTTGAGTAGAGTGTGGATTTGTGAGATGACCCATGAGATGATTCACATGTTTACTGTACTTAAGAATGGAGACATTTCCTTCCTCAGTAGCACTGGAGCTAATAATAGTGGTTTGTGAAGAATTGTACGTGTCAGGGTTGCCATTCATCTCTCTGAGGGAAAAGATACAAATGAGGGTGAATTTTTAACTGTTAAGAACAAGGGATAACGGAGCAATACAAACCAGTAAGATTCTGTTAATTTTTTAAACTAATGGGAAGTAAGCATTGGGTCATATATTAATATAAACCTAAAAGATGTACTTTTTTCTGTATACCCTTGGGTACATTGATACAACATTTTTTATCTTTTTGATAAGAAAAAGATTAAAATATTTTTCAGTTTAATGGTCTAACTAAACAATGTGAAGCATTTATTATATCAAAGGAGCATTTGAAAGTTATTTTTTAAAAAGTCATTTTAGAGTAAGTACTTATTAAATATTAAATATTAAAATGTTAGAGGGGAAAATAAATCAGTCATTTCATTCTAAAACAGCTTTTTTAAATATTTTACTATATCTCTTTTGGGTCTTTTTTGTCTGTTCATAGGTGATTAAGAGACATAGCCCTATATGTTGTACTTTTCACCTAACATTATAAGGATTTCATGTTTGTTTAAAACGTTTAAAAATCACTTTTACTCTCGCTCCGTTAATGTTCCTAAATACTTTCTAATATCAGAGAAGTTTTCTGTTTTATAGAAAATGTTTTGAGAATGTGGTGGTGGTGGTAGTGTCTGGGGGGTGGGGGAAGATAAGGGGAGATCTGAAGGGTGGGATCTTTTCTATTCCATGCTGTTGAGGCTCAGGTTCTGTTAAGAGTAACAACACCCAACACTAACAGGACATTTACTGTGTGCCTGGCACTGATCTAAGCCTTTTCTACTGATTAATCTTTAGAATCACCTCTGAAGAAGAACTGTTATTACTCCCACTTTGCAGATGAAGAAACTAAGGCACACAGATGTTAAATAATGAATTCAAAGGCATAGAGCCAAGAAGTAGCATAACTGGGATTTGAACTCAGATAGTCTGATTCTAGAATCCATGTTTCTTCAACACCACGTTTTGGTTTTTTTTTAAGAGTTTTATTTATTTATTTATTTGACAGGCAGAGATCACAAGTAGGCAGAGAGGCAGGCAGAGAGAGAGAGAGGTGGACGCAGGCTCCCCGCTGAGCAGAGAGCCAGGGCCCTCTCAGCGGGATCGCGGGGCTCAATCCCAGGACCCTGGGATTATGACCTGAGCCGAAGGCAGAGGCTTTAACCCACTGAGCCATCTAGGCGCCCTAACACCATGTTCTTCTGCCTCAGAATGGTTGTCTTGTTTAATGCCTCCTTGAGTATCTCCAGATATTCTCCAGATATCAGTAAATGTAGTTTTATTTGTATATCACAGATTTGAAATAATATTCAAAGAAATAGGAAAAACAGTAGTGCAGAAAAACCACCTCTTTTAGAAGCAAAGAGAAAATCTCAATTTTTTTTTTAATCTTAAATGCACAGTTGACATATAGGAATTCTGTATTGGATGCCTTATTGATATAGATTTAGGAGACTGCACCTCAGAAAACTCCGAAAGTATCAGACTTAAAACCCTTTGGAATGGCCATCATTTTACCAGTTTCTCCTGAGTCAAGTGTGCATGTCAAGCACTGGTTTCAGTTGGCATCTGAGAGGAGCCTTATAAGATTATACCTGAGAAAACCCTTGGAAACCCAGGGAGAATTTCATGTCATGAGCTGCATTATGAGGAGATAAGGAAGCTTTGATAGAGTAGATAAACTCAACTTACAAGCTCATTTTGGGTCACTCACTTGGAATAATTGAAAGCAATATGTTAACTGCAGAAAGCTTAAGTGTCTAGAAAACATATTATTGGCATAATTTTATGTAGTTAATGACAGGTGGTTCTTCTGATTCTCTTTTCTAGAGTGCTTTGCAGGCACTGAAGTACCCTCAGAGAGGCCTTCCTAACATAGAATACAGATTTTCCCAACTTAGAGTGGGGTTATATCCCAATAAACCTGTCGTAAGTTGAAAAATGAGTCAAAGTGCATTTAATGCACTTAGCCCCCTGAACATCATAGCTTAGCCTAACCTACCCTCAGTGTGCCCAGAACACTTACATTAGTATCCAGTTGGGCAAAATCATTGACCACAAAGGCTGTTTAATATTAAAGTATGGACTCATGTAATTGGGTACTATACCGAAAATGACCAGTATGGCCAGCCGTGTGGGTACGGAAGAGTTGTCAGCGTACCTGTTGTTTACCCTTGTGACTGGTGGGTGGCCAGGAGCCACCGCCGCCATGTAGCATCACGATGGAGGATCGTCCCATACCATGTTAGCTTGAGACAGCATCAAGATTCACAGTTTGGAGCACAGTTTCTCCTGAACGTGTAATTACACCATTTAAAGTTAAAAATCCTAAGTGGAACCATTTTAAGTCAGGGACCATCTGGACTTTGAAAGGGAAGAAAAATTTTTTGTTTCTGCCTTTTGGGTTTTTTTGCTGGAAGTAAGATGGATTTAATAAACCTTTGGCTTTGATAATATCAGTATGTCCTTGAGAAAAACACACACACACATGACCTTTTGGGGGAATTGCTCTTATTAAAAGATTATCTTGTAGGGCACCTGGGTGGCTCAGTGGATTAAGCCTCTACCTTCGGCTCAGGTCGTGATCTCAGGGTCCTGGGATTGAGTCCCGCATCGGGGGGGGTCTCTGCTCAGCAGGGAGCCTGCTTTCCCCTCTCTTTCTCTGCCTGCCTCTCTGCCTACTTGTGATCTCTCTCTCTCTGTCAAATAAACAAATAAAATCTTAAAAAAAAATAAAAATAAAAAGATTGTCTTGTGATGTACTTTGAATACGCCATGTCCAAAGTGTGGATAGTGTTCCTTTATGGCCGGGGTTGGTGGGGGGTGTTAGTGAATGCCAGACTGATGGAAAAGTTAGAAGCTGAAGTATGTAGGTTTGGGCTATATGAAAATAGACACAGAAAATACTGTGTTGCTGAAGTTTTTTAAAAATAAAAAACAAAAGTATTTGTTTCTGTCAACCTAACTGTGTTCTTTATGCACGTTACAGGATTTTTATCTTACTGCGGGAACAGGATTTGTGTTTTTGTTGGCATCCATCATTTTCGTTTCCACACATGATAGGACCAAAGCTGAGATCGCTGCAATTGTGAGTATCTCATATTTCGAATCCTTGCTTAGTTTTGTTTCCTTAGAAATTTGGAACTTGGAAAGTTCTTGCCAAGTGATACAATATGGGAGAGTAGTTTGTCTTGTAACTTATTTTTTAGCGTAATTTTGAATAGAGGACCTAAGTGCAAATAAATACGATAGCCCTAGCAATCTAGAACCCGTCTTTAGAATCTAGAATAAAAACCCATTTACTCCACTTATGTACATGTCACTGCTAATGGAAGTGGTAGAATTGACTTCGTTATCCTATATTTTTCTACTTTGCAGTCCAGCAAAAATACACCTACATGCCAGGCCCTGTTCAAGGTGTAGAGAATACATGAGAGAAATGATCCAAAGGTTGAGTCTTTATAATAAAAGATAGATAGATAAATGTCTTTCTGGAAGCCTTGGGGGAGGGGCAATTTTTATTTTTATTTTTATTTTTTTAAGAGTTCAGTATATTCTGGTTTTTCAAAAGGTAATCCTGCACATATTATATGACACCTTCAGACCTTCAGAGGACCTGGGGCAGCACCGTGTAATCCAATATATTACTATTTCTGAAGCATGAATATTCACAGTAAAAAGGATAAAGACTCTAAGTAGTTTTACCTCATGTCACTTTTGAGCCCAGTAAATTACGAAAACTTCACTTTCGTGGGTTTTTGGATTTGAGAGTGACAAATCAGGGCTCATGCACCCGAATTGGTGCTGGTCTTATGAACGTGAGTAACTGATAGCTGTGGAACAAATCCTCTTACAAGTCAGCTGGGTTCCAGTTAATCCTCGTCTCATGGCAAAAGTGAAGTTATAATTAATTGACTTGTCAGCTAAATAGATCATTAAAACTATTTTTAATTACAGAACAACTCCATAGGAGTTCAGAGCCTTGCATGGTTCTATCTACCTGTTCACAGGAGTGCTGTTTACAAAGCACACATGTAAAGCAATTGTAAAACAAAACAAATTAAATTAATGCTGAACTTTGACTCATTCCAGCCACAAGTAGTATTTCTGCATGGGCACATGAACCAATGGGTACATGAAGAGAAAATCAGTTTTAATAGACTGTTATGGTTAATTTCAGTTTATATACATATTTTTATTATGGAGGAGTATGGTAAGAGTGATCAGTAAAATGTTTTGCAGTGTGGATATGTATTACTAGAAAATCCTTGGAGGGGGGGCCCCTGGTTGGCTCAGTCGGATGAGTAGTTGACTCTTGGTTTTGGCTCAAGGTTGTAAGATTGAGCCCTTGGCTTGGGCTCCGAGCTCAGTGGGGAGTCTGCTTGAGATTCTCTCCCTCTGCTCCTTCCCCAGCTTGTTCCCTCTCTCTCTCCCTCTCTCTCTCTAAAATAAATAAAATTTAAAAATCTTTTTTTTTTTTTTTTTTTTTTTAGGTCAGAGAGAGAGAGAGTGAGCACAAGCAGGCAGAGGCAGAGGGAGAAGCAGACTCCCCGCTGAGCAAGGAGCCCAAGGTGGCACTCGATCCCAGGACCCTGGGATCATGACCTGAGCTGAAGGCAGCGGCTTAACCAACTTGAGCCACCCAGGCATCCCTAAAATAAATAAATCTTCAAAAAATAAAATCCTTGGAAGAAATGAAACAGAGTTGAGGAAAATTGAGTTGAAGGGGGAAAGAGAGCATGGCATGAAATTCTGAGCTATTAAAACAGCTTTTTTGTGTGTTACAATTAGGTGATGTGTTAGATTATCACAGTATTTCGATTTCATTGGATATATTTAAGAGTTAATGGTAGTTTAAAAACTCAGTATAATATGCTGGAAATTACCTTTTGCAACTGTTTAAATTATGAAAAAATTTGCAGACTAAAATGAGTGAGGGAAGCCATTTAAAAAAAAGAAATTGAAGTATGTGAGCAAAAGATCTGGACGATCATTTGTCTGGATGTCCTGCATGGCCCGAAGCTCTCAAGGGGATCAGGGATGGCTTCACAGACACGGTGATATCTGGTCTGTCCTTAAAGCATGTGATATGTTTGTCAGGCAAATAAGGGGATAGATACAAAGATACCATCAAGCCAAAATGAAGACTCCAGAGGGGAGAAGTGACTTAGGTTTGGAGATGTGGGATTGGTAATTAATTGTAGGTTGGACAGATGTGTTGGGGCTGTTGGGGTGAATTAGTGAATTTGGAGTTGAGTTTGCTTTACAGTGGCATAAGTCAGATTGCATATTCTTTAGGAGAGAGGGTTTGAGAGTGAAGGGTCAAGAAACTGGAGCAGATGACAGCAAAATGTTAAAAATCTAGAACAGGGGCTCCTGGGTGGCTCAGTCAGTTAAGCGTCTGCCTTCGGCTCAGGTCCTGATCCCAGGGTCCTGGGATCAAGTTCCACATCAGGCTCCCAGCTCAGTGGGGATCCTGCCTCTCCCTCTGCTACTGCTCCCCCTGCTTGTGCTTGTTCTTTCCCCCTCTGCTCTCCGTGTCAAATAAAATCTTTAAAAAAAAAAAAATCGAGAGCAAAGTGCTGGTTACCAGAGGGGAGGTGGGTGAGGGGATGGGTGAATGGGTGATGGGGATGAAGGAGTGACTTGAGATGAACACAGCGTGACATACGGAAGTGCTGAGTCACTGTGTCGTACACCTGAAACTAATATTACACTATATGTTAACTAACTGGAATAGGAATAAAAACAAAAAACAATAATAAAATAAAAATCATGGAGAGATGGGGTGTTAGAGGTGGAAGGGACTTTAGCCATCACCTGCATCCATTTTTCCTTTTTACAGAATAGTTCTTTGCCCCATTTCTTTAAGAGTTTTGCTAGTGTAGATCCCTTCTTGACAGAACTCTCAGAATGTTTGATCGTATGTTAGAAGAGTACAATGAGGAAGTGATTTAAGGAAGTTGGAGTAGGTCATGGTGTCATGTTGCTGTGTCATTACAGTGTGACAGTTAACTGGAAAATGGTTTTTAGATAATGTAACCTAGACAGATCTTGAAAATAGAGTTTCTGTTGATCAGTCATTGGATAGTGATTACTTCTTGCCATTTTCACCTATGTTCAGCTCCCTACTCACATAGTTGCCTTCCCTCCTCTGGGGTCAGGCTAACCATGGCTAATAATCTTGTGTTTTGTATCATTTTATAGGATTTTGTTTTTCCTCTGTTAAACTTAGTATCACAGGTTGGCACCCCACACATACACATGCACACATAAGACAGGACATCTCTATTTTGCGAAACTTCAACTAATAGCCATTATTCTAGAATTTCTTTTTATAACATCTTTTTGATGCCCTTAAAAAGTCCTTTATTACTAGGATTAAGAATAATGTGTATAAGATAGGGATGCCTGGGTGGCTCAGTTGGTTAGACATCTGCCTTTGGCTCAGGTCATGATCTGGGGGTCCTGGAATCGAGTCCTCCGTCAGGCTTCCTGCTTAGCAGGGAGTCTGCTGCTCCCTCTCCCTCTGACCCTCCCCCTACTAGTGCTCTCTCTCCCTCCCTGTCCCCGCCTTGTGCTCCCTCACTCAAGTGCTCTCTTCGCTATGCACACACGTTTTCGGTCTCTCTCCGCGCACGCTCTCTCTCTCAAATCTTAAAAAGTAAAGAATGTGGATAAAATTGGTGAATCGTCTCGCTTGTATAAAACACTCCCAGAGCCAAGTAGGAAATGGGAGATTATATTCCAAAATCTGTCACATAAATCCTTGCTCTTTCTTCACCTCAGGTGTTTGGATTTCTAGCAAGTATTATGTTCCTGTCTGACTTTGTCATTATGTTCTTCGAGAGACGACAGGAGTCCCAGATGAGGAAACCAGAGGCTGCCAGGAGCGCAGGGGCCCTCACAGAACCCCTTAATGCTTAAGGACTCTGGGGACCGGGTGTTACATAAGGTATTGACTGCGTGCCGCCTGAGCCCTGGCCGAAGCTCATGTAGAATTTGTGTAATTGTTAAACCACTTCTTTCAGAGAGCAAGGGGAAGGACAGGAAGGCAGTTTTATTAACTTTTGCCTATGTGTCAGTCACTGCAAATTAGGTCAGTGTTTTTGGGTTAAAAAAAAATTTTTTTTTAAATAACCGTTAAAACTTCTGTCACATGAAATGGTTCTCCTTTTTTGTTTTGGAGGTGAGGACAGTTTCTTTAAATCTCATAGCTCAACTGATTCTGATTTATTCTGTCATTGTTAACTAGGCCTAGCTTTCAAATTAAGACTGTACAGCCAGCATGATTAAGTTTATCAATTTAGAAATTGTTTTATTTTTAAATTAATTTGTTTAGCCAGGTGTTTTTTAGGTTTGGTTTTTTTGTTTTTTGTTTTTTTGATGATCAGATAAAATTTAATGTATATTTAAGAGATCACTATTTAAAATATTGGGCTAGGGGCTTTTTTTCCCCCTTAAAAATGTAATACCCAGGCTTTACTGTATGTCAGCCTTAAAATTATATTGTTTAACATTTTAGGATAATTATTATTAACTCTTTCTGAGACCTTTTATAGCCTAATAGAAACTATATAGGAGGTGTTGGTATTTCTTATATATAAAAGCAACAACATCAGAAACCCCATGTTTATAACTGCACTTTGGTGGTTGGTGATAAGCAAAAAAAAAAAAAAACCCCCCCCCCCAAAAAAAAGAACCAGCAAACATTATAAAACACGTAGAAGAAATGGAATAAATAAAATAAACTCTCATGGCTAAGGACCAAAGATAAAGAAGATACACTTTTTGCACCATACAGTGAAAGTAATTATAAAAACAGTCTTCAACCACTTACCACTGTCTAAAGAGATAAGTTTATACTATGAGTTCGAAATTGGTCCCTTCCCTTACTGGCATATGGTTATTTCTACTGAAGTTAATACAGCTCTGTAGGTCCCATTAAGTGTTTTCCTTGAAGGCTTCCCTCTTTTTAAGACCCCAGCCTTTGATTTTTCTTCTATATGAGATTCTCCTTGTTCTGTCTCTTTATCCCCATGGTCCGTATGCTGCTTCATCATCTGACAGAGGTGAGCCTCTATCTCCGACTCTTGCTTGATGGCGGTGGTCTTTAGGTGGGCCACAATTTGGGGCCCTTTTAATTGCATAGTATATGTAGCAGGATATTTCGGGTTCTTGTTCCCACGTTGGGCATTACTCTAACCTCTCTTTGGGGGAGCCCTTCTTAAGGAAGTGAGGATCTAGCAAATCCCACCCCGGTGAATACTGATGATGGTGTAAGGGAGTAGTCAACCCGTTCTCAAGAGACACTTCATAACTGGTTCTGATCATTTGTGACAATTGTCTCTTGCTGGCAGGCTGTCTTAGAGACCACCAAACAAGGCACTCAAGATCAGACCTTTCTGACTAAATGGTTTTCAGAATAAACCTGTCTTGTCCTCTTCTTGGATTTTTGACTCCGGACGCTAGAGTTCAGGCAGTGAGCCCATGCGTCTGGTGTTCTTCAGGACTTCGGTGGAGGTCTCCTGGGCTAGCTGGCCTGGGAGTAGAATCATGTTTCCAGTGAGACAATTTAGTGACCCCGCCCTTTTTAAATTTCTCATTTGTGTGTTGTCAAGGTGGTGAATGTGGTGATCAGAATTCATCATTATGGCCAGACACAGCCTCTACTCTGTCTTCACTGACTCAGGACCTTAGCCCTTTACCAGAGCTTGGGTGCCAGCTGGTGCTGATGGTGTAGTCACCGCTGCCTCCCTGGGAGGCAATGAAACCGATCACTGATGCTGTCGTTACTGGGCATGCCATCCAAGAGAGGAGAAATAGCCTTGGTCTGGGCTCCAAGAATGAAGAGCAGTGCAAAAACAACCCTCTTCTGGTCAGCAGGTTCTGGAATTTCCCATCTAACTGTACCACTGTCATTTGTAATACCATCTAGACCCAGCTGGGTTTCACAGCAAGTGGTCTGGGCTACCTCTGCCCCCCCCACCCCCACGCATGGACTTAGTTGAGGTTGATGGACATGTCCCCGCCGGCCTCACACGTGGAGCGCGTTGACATTGAGCTTCAGCTCTGCTTGCTCTGAGGCTTTGTTTCCATTTGTTCGATTGGGGCACGAGTGGGCCTCATAGCTGCCATTTAATCCTTCCCTTTTCAGAAAGATCATATATTCACTAGTATTTTTGGTCACTCTAGAACTTTTCTTCATAGTGGTTGTTATGGGACCCGTGACTGATAGCCTCCCTCTTCTATCATAGAAGGAATGAGAGGAAAAAGACCATGTGGAAAATAAAAAGTTTTCAAGGAGAACTTGGGACCAAAACCCATTCTATGTCCAAAATAGGGCACACTGAATAAACTGAAGTTTAACATAATTTTTTATTAACAGCCATATTAGACTTAATTTGTTATATTTTATACAAATAAACTGTTTAGAGTGGTTTTTAAAAATTATAAGGGAAATGCACATACAGTATAAAAATTTTATAATTGTACTTAAATTATGTTCTGTTTGGGGACTGGGAAATGTATTTTTACATTGTTTACAGCCAATCGCTTTTGTATTTATCGATTTAAATCCTGTGTGTCTTCTTTTTTTTATCATCTCTCTCAATGTCAAATTTTGTAGTCTTTTTAAATAAATCCATTTTATTGTCTGACTTTGTAGTTGTTTCATTATTTCAGAATCCTGATGCTCAGGGTGCCTGGGTGGCTCAGTCAGTTAGGAGGCTGACTTCAATTCAGGTCCTGATCCGGAGTCCTGGGATCCAGCCCCACATCGGGCTCCCTGCTCAGCGGGGAGTCTGCTTCTCCCTTTGAGTCCCCCCACCCCCGCTCTTGCTCGCTTGCTCTCTCTCTCCCCCTCCCTCAAATAAATAAATAAAATCTTTCAGGAAAAAAAAAAAAAGAAGCCTGATGCTGAGATGAAACCTTTTTCCAGAATTCTAGGAATTGTCTCCAAAAATGTGGTAAGTCCCTGTGTAGGACACTGAACTGTGGGTCCACCCAGGTATGGGGCACAGACAGAAAAGAAGCCCTCTTCCTACCTAGGGGCTGCTTCTCTTGTTGCCAAGACAGAACACACCTTCAAACAGTATTTTTAGGGAGCCATAGAGGAATGTTATGGAGTGAACACCTTGAAATACTTGTAAAGAAGCACATTGGGGCTCTCCCATCCCATTTCTCGATGTGGCTAAGCAGTGCTAAAAACAAAATAGGCACATTCTCTTTCAGACTGTCCAGTGACTGGGAACGTGTGAAACAACTGGGGTGGTTCTGGTAAAGCTACAACTATTTGTATCGTTTGCAGAATTCCTGCCTCCAGTCTGGACAAGAAGAACGAGATCTTTATAGTCATCGAGAACTCACTGGAATTTGTACATTCTTCAGAGTTTTGTGTTTTGTTTTGATAAAGAACAATGTGTATCGATGTGCAGTCAATGGCGAGGAGCAGAAAACTTAAACAGGTCTTAACCAGTAAGGAAAATGTCTTTCATAAGAAGCCTGGGTGAGGTGGTTCTGTGATGGTCAGAGTTTGGTGGCTCAGTGGTACTATCAAGCACCCAGACTCTCTCCGTGTTTTTCTGCCCATCCATCTTCTGCTGTGAGTTTTTATCCTTAGGATTAACCATTTATGGTGTAGCAAGATGGAGGCAACATGTCCAGACATCACCCACTTGCACCACTATGTCCAAAGGCCCGAAGAGAAGAGATTGTGTATTTCTCTGTTCCTAAGGAGTTCCTTCTTCCCAGAAGCCCCTCAATGGACCTCACCTACTTGTCTTTTACTAGAAGACTTTAAATGCCTCTTTCTAAATCACTTACGTGCAGAATGGCATTACTGAAGAAATGGCCTAAAGTAATCCAAATTCCTCTCCTTAGGTGGGAACACCCTTTGGAGCATATAGTCTTCTGTTATTGGAACAGATTAGTTTTATAGCAGGAGAAGGGCTACTGTCCTGGGGTTCAACAGTGTCTGTCATAAGCTGGTTGAGGATTGGGCCCCAGCTAGGGGAAATAAAATTCCCATTTAAGAAAGTTTCACAGGCCTGACTAGCCCCAAAACAATGTAACATAGAAAAACTAATGATTTTGATGTTTAAATTGTATAAGTAATGGGTATCATAAAAAATTGGTTTAATAAAATATGGAAAACACTGTTCTTTTCCTGAGATCTTTGCTTTTGGCTACTGTTAATTATTGAAATATGTCAAGCACTAGAAGTACGAAAGATCATATCCTGTTATAGACACCACCCGGCTTTAGAGCCTAACTTTTTACCAGATTTTCTTGAAAGGGCCTTGTTTAAAACAGAAAATGAAGTTTCACTTGTGAAGTACCACCACCTCAAATTTTGCTCTTTTTACTTTTCCAAAGGCAAACACTACCTTGAATTTGGTGGCTGTCTTTCCTGCTTTGTGGTCTGTGCTCTGTATAGAGATGTACCCATAAGCAATGTACAACATGGTATCTAGGCTGTATTTATCCTTTTACAGATGGCTTGCTTCAATTCTGAAATTCATCTGATACATGCAGCTCTAACTCATTCACTTCAACTACTACTTGGTATTCCACTGAACAGATATGCCACAATTTACTTACCTCTCCTCTGTGGATAGAAGGCTTTTAATGTGGTTTGTTTTTGACCGTTTCAACCAGTATTGCAGTGAACATATTGGAACATCTCACGCACATGTGCAAGAGTTATATAGAGAGCGTGTACTTAGAAATAACTGTTAGGTCACAGGGTGGGTGCAATTCCCACTTGGCGAAATAGTTCCAAATGGTCTCCAAAGTGGAGACTTCTCGCAGCATACAGGGGTGCTTGTTTCCTTATTCTTGTCTTGCACTAGTTTTAGTTTGGCTGAACAGGTGGTCTCTCATTTGATTGTATACTCTCCTTTCTACTGGTGAGCCTGATCATCTTCTCATTTGGTTGTTGACCTTTTAGGCTTCCCCACATCAAAGAGTTACTCGTTCATATCCTTTGTCTTTCTTTCACATTGAAGTCGTTTTTGGTTTTGGTTTTGGTTTTGGTTTTTTAACTCATTGGAGAGCTCTTGACATGTTATGGCTGTTATCCTTTGTTAGTAATAAGCCTTGGAAATAAATCTTCTCAAAGTCTATATATTTTAACTTTGTGTCTTTGCCTATTGATTCTTGTTACCTCAAGGTGAGAGATGTTCTCTGCTTTCTAAGATGTTTAAAGATTTGCATTTTAGGGGCACCTGGGTGGCTCAGTGGT